AGGAAATAACTAGCTGATGCGTATTGGAACTTAGCGGGACTGTCTCCCCATCTATTTAAGGCTCTGGTTTTATGGACGTTGTTGATAGCTAAGGTATTTTAATGTTATAAAAATACTTTGACACTATGGCTGATCATATGACCTTATTTTTTTTTTTAAAAAAACCCCAAATTGTCCAATTTTAATATCTGATGGAAAGAGATGCCAAGTGGTCAGGGATCTTCCCCATTCCAGAATTAGCCCTAAATTCAATTAACATGCTCAGCTAAGAAAGTTTGCACCAAGGAAAATGCAGCCATGCTTCAATCTCTTCTTCCAAATGACCTCTGGAATCTACATCCCCATAGCTGGGGCACCCATCTGTGGAGTCACAGAAATCTAAATAGACCCATTTACTTCAGTAGAGTTGCTCACTAAGATGCCAAGAACAATAAATTGCCAAGTGGACAATTTGAAGGAAAGTAAGAGTGAACACCTAGGATTATATATATATAATCCTAGGTCCTATATCCTATATATATATAGGACCCGAATAACCAAAGACCTACATATATATATATATGTATATATGTATTCTTCTTCGTAGGATTTATGTGTGTTTTTCCTCTCTCACCTGGCAGCAGGAACTTGCTAGCTGCCAGAAAAGAAAAAAGCCCTGGATGTGATTCTACTGAGCTAGGGCTGCAGAAAAACCTTGGTTACGTAGGAAAAACCTGGCTAGAGGAAAAACATATATATATATATTTATTTATACCCCAGTCTCGTCTCCCCCATCCCTCAATCATCCCATCCCTAAATTATTGTAAATTCCCTAAAATACTGTAATTTCCTCACAGAACAACAATCCAGAGCTGACCATATTGGTTCCATGCTCTGTTCTATAGCTTCTTCTGTCAATAGTTGGTCAGTTGTTGTATGTCACAAAGTAAAAACGTTTACTTAAATTGGGCTTGGAGATGAATATTTACTGTAACAAGATGGAAAATTACAGCTTAGGGATAAATCGATGAAGATTCTCAGTCATCCAGGTAGAACTGCCTGGAAGTCGAGTCATGGCAACTGGATTTATTGTCTTGTTGGATGTGAGACGTTTCGCTGCAGCTTCACCCAAGCAGCTTCTTCAGTCTGAAGAAGTTGGTAGGCGGCGAGTCGTTGGAATCTGCCAACTTCCTAAAATTCTTAGGGGTATTTAAGAAACGTCTCCAAGTACCATACACTTTGGAGAAGAAATCCTGAAGTGCGGGGAGACCCCTAAGAATTGTAAGAGTTGGCACATTCCAACGATTCTCTGCCTACTCAGATACCCCCCAAACAATTTGTTCCGGCTGAAGAAGCTGCTTGGATGGACAACGAAACATCTCAAACAAGGAGCCTGGTGGCGCAGCAGACTAAAGCAGACTGTTATTAACACCAGCTGCCTGCAATTACTGCAAGTTCAAATCTCACCAGGCTCAAGGTTGACTCAGCCTTCCATCCTTTCTAAGGTAGGTAAAATGAGGACCCAGATTGTGGGGGCAATAAGATGACTTTGTATAAATATACAAAAGTATGAAGGCTATTGCTTAACGCATTGTAAGCCGCCCTGAGTCTCCGGAGAAGGGCAGCATATAAATCAAATTTTAAAAAAAAACCAAAAAAAACCCCAAGAAGACCGTAAGTCCAGTTGCCACAATTTGACTTTCAGATGATAGTTTGGATACTTTCTGGAAGTCCAGTTGCCTCTTGAAAAAGCACCTTTGGGATAACCATTACCTGGATGACTGAGAATATCCATGAACTAGCTTTCTTCTACTCTCAAACACAACCCTTGTAATGGACAAAGCAACCCTGAGAGGAGGCAAAATATGACGGGGTGCCCCTTTGTTTGGTTAACAAATGGTCTTTTCCAGAATTTCTCCACTGTTACCTATGGGTGAAAAGGAGGCGCGTTTGAAGCAGAGGAAATTTTGGGTGTTTCTGAACTAAACTGAGGAGAACCCTGAAGGACAAAACTATGGAAACTGTCTCGCCCAAGACTTTGAAAAAGGGATCTGACACCTTTAAGAAATAAATGAACAAAGGGAATAAGCCAGCTAAGCAGTCACAATTATAGGGTCCGCATGAATCAGGGACATGGCCAAAAGGAGTCCTTGTATTCGTTTAGTCTGCTCTTTGCTGAACTGAGTTTTTTAAATGTACTTGAAGTAAAAATGCATTTATGCAACTGCAGTCATGCGTTATGGATGCTCCACTATGTTTTGAAGCACCCCAATCAACTATGCATGTTTTCAGTGAGAGGATAAAATAATGTGGCGTACTTCAGGGCCATTTCATAAAATAGCAGGGTTTAACTTCTGCTGATAATATGTATGCTAGGCATCACAAGGGTCAGGAAAATATTTTCCAGCTTACCACACACAAATCATTGCTTAGGTGTAGTCTTCATTGGTATGCTGATTGTTATCATAGTGCAAGGTGATTTGAAAGGGTCTAGAGATGGGGGGGGGGAGTCCAGAGCAAAAGCAATGCTTTAAAATCTAGGGGGGAAAAAAAATCTCCCGGTTGACCTGGATAGGCCACAGATTTGGAAAAGCGTGACCTATTACAGGTAGTCTTCAACTTACAACCATTCATTTAATGACTGAAATTACGACAGTGCTGAAAAAAAAAATGCCATTGACTGGTTCTTGTACTTACAACCCTCACAGCGTCCCCGTGGTCATGACAACTTTCCCATGAGGCTTCCAACAAGCAAAGTTAACGGAGGAACTTGGATTCCTTTAATGACCTTGTAATTTGCTTAACGACCATGTGAGTCACTTAATGACCATGGTAAAAAAAGGTATAGTAAAATCAGGTGCAACTTACTTAATGATTGCATTACCTAGCCATAGACGTTCCAATCCCAGTTGTGGATGTAAATCGAGGACTACCTGTATGTCTTTGTTACGGAGTAAATGAAGAACTTACTTCAGCTGTTTCAAAGCAAGGACAGTGGTAACTGCAGCAATTTCTCTTATACTGATGATGACTATAAGAGTATAAGTGGTAATTATCCACTTCTTATCCAAGTATGAGCTGTGGTAGCAGAGTGGTTAGAAATGCAGTCCTTCAGGCTACTTCTACTGACTGCCAACTACCCGCAATTTGTCAGTTCGATTCCTGACCGGCTCAAGGTTGACTCAACTTTCCATCCTTCCAAGGTTGGTAAAATGAGGACCCAGATTTTTGGGGGGCAATATGCTGACTCTGTAAAACTGCTTAGAGAGGGCTATAAAACACTGAAGCGGTATATAAATCTAAGTGCTATTGCTGTTGCTATCCTTTGATAAGCCTAAATCAGCTCCCCGTGTATTACTGCATACCTTTATACCTAAGCTTTTTCCTATAAACATTCCTATAATACACTTTGGAAAAATCATTAGAAAGCATTGAGAAAAACCTCCTTTCACTGCTATTAAGTATACCCATATCACACACTGTTTGTGCATTCAGGAACTAGAAAATTTGAACAAAACTATTTAGTATGGTAAATCAAGAGTAATTTCCCACTGCCCAAGGATCACTTCTTATACTAGCCATGGGTGCAGAATTGCCGTGTCACACTCAAATGCAAAAAAAGAAGGCAAAGATTTCGAGATGTTCCAGACATATCTTGATGTCTGTAAAATATTTAACAAAGTGCCATTGTGATTTACAGACTAGTTACATGATAACTGAATCGTAGACAATTAAATGGATATATAGCTGGCTCAAAAATCACACTCCAAGGGTGTTCATCTACAGTTCTTCATCCAAGGGGAGAGATGTGGGCTATCATGAGGTTGGGCCCTGCATCCTTCAATATTTTTATTAATGATGGGGACAAAAAAGTGAAAGGAATTTATAAAAAATAATAAATAGCCTATATCTTAGAAGTTATAAATAAAATTTAAAACATTTATGATGGGTTAAGGAAATGGGCTGAAAAATAACAGAACGAAAATAGTCAAGTGCAAAATCCTTAACTTAGAAAACAGAAATTGAATACATAGGCATAGATTAAGGAATGCATGTGTTGGAAAATATGTTGGAATAGAGAGGATTGCAAACACAATATGATCTTGAAGTGTGTTGGGGCTTTAGGCTGCCTTAGCAGAAATACAGTTTTCAAATCATGGGATGTAATAGCTTGGTGTTGGTCTGACTCCACCCCAATTGTATCCAATACATAGGTATTAATTTAAAGAGGATCAACAAGGATGATCAGACAAATAGAGAAAAAGTGGAAATGAAAAGATCTGAGAATGTTTATTAGGGAGAAAAGATGAGTGATGGAGAATAGGACAGCACTCCTCAAATATGGAAAGGATGCCATTTAACTGCCTAGAGTTGCTCGATAAGAGAGATGGAAGGTATACTATTTGAATGAATGAATGAATGAATGAATGAATGAATGAATGAATACTCAAGTCCTCTTCTTCCACTTCAAAATGCAGGATTTGGAATTACGTAAGACCAGGACCAGAGATAGCCTCAAAGTCTTGAGAATGCCCCCTTATTTAATCAGGCTGGGCCATACCATTTGATAAGAAAAATGAGGATTGGTAATATTTTGGGTGGTGCCTTCTAGATGACCCCACCCCAATACAGACCTCTACAGAAAAGCAACTGCTGGCTGAATATTACAAAAACAAAACAAAACCCAACAACCTTCCTAGCAGTTAGTGCAACTCAACAGTGGAATCAATGACCACCCCGGACTCCTGGACAGTGAGCTTCGTCACAACATCTGTGTTCAAACCCAGGCTGGCCGTCTCTGGGGAATGTTTTAAACTGGATTCCTGCACTGAGCAAAGGGTTGGACTCAGTGGTCTAAAGCAGGGATCTCCAACCTTGGCAACTTTTAAGACTTGTGGACTTCAATTCTCAGAATTTCTCAGCCAGCTTTGGGAGTTGAAGTCCACAAGTCTTAAAGATGCCAAGGTTGGAGACCCCTGGTTTAAGTCCCAATTCTCACCTTCTTTCTACATGCCCTACATATTATAAAATCTTGGGAGAAAGGATTTGAGGGAACTGAAGCACAGCTGGCATCTCATACTCCAATCTCACCAGATGGTTTAGAAACAAACACCTTGGAGACAAGAGGATGTGGCTGACATACTTTCACAGTACAACCGCCCGGATCCCACAAGGGCCTCAAAAGTAAGCAATGTGATTTTTTTTTTTTTTAAAAGGAGAGAGTAGGAATCTGATTTGGACTAAAAACAAATCTCTTAAATAAGCCCCTAAGAGGGAAGGTGAAAAGGAAAGGATTCACAGAATTTAAGTACTTAAAATCAGAGGCATCAGAGAATATAAATTGTACAGGGTGTGCACGTTTTTTTAAAAAAAAGAACTTTCTGATTTAAACTAAACCAAAAGCCATTGCTTGATTTTTTTCATCCAGAGGAAGAGTGTTGGCTTTTCCAACGAGGAATGAATCCACATGTTTTATCTTAGGATGCATTTGAATTGCATCATATCAACCAAATCCATCTGAATAAAAGACTTACAGAGTTGGAAGGGACCTTGGAGGTCTTCTAGTCTAACCCCCTGCTCAGGCAGGAAACCCTATATACCGTTTCAGACAAATGGTTGTCCAATCTCTTAAAACCTACAGTGTTGGAGCACTGTACCTGGCGATACCTCTTAATGTACCCTTCCCCCCTTATTTATTTCCATGTTTGGGGAAGAATCGTGTCCAACATTTTCTCTAGCATTTTGTCTTCCTAATAAGAATTCTTCCTAGCACACATACTGGGTAGAGAGAGACAGAGAATACCATAACTGGGAAATAACATTTCCTTTAAGTATTACTAAAGATGCTGCTAAGAAGCGACAGAAACCCCCCAGATATCCAGTGTGATCTGAGCCATCAAATGATTAATTGCTTAGCTTTCCTGTGGGAAAAAAAAAGGTTCATGAAAAATATTGCTTTTTAAAAGCATTGCAAATGCAGAGGAATCAAGATTCCAACATGCATATTAGTATACGATGTTTCTGTTCTCATGACATGTTTAATGTAGTCATGGGGATGAGGCTACCATAGCATGTGAATGGAAAACCAGGTTAATTGACTCAGTCAATTAACAAAAGTGAGTTATGTTTGGTATTAAATAACACCAAGTCTGCCTTAAGGCTACACTTAACTCTCTTCAGTTAACTCTGTGAAGGGCACTTCCACATGGTGTCACTGCCATTTCCAGTTCCTTCAAGCTGTTGTTAAGTTAGGTACACTATAAATGACTAAAAAGTGCTCATTTAGTAAATGGTTCCACTTCAGCTTGGAGGAAAAGAGAAAAGAATGCTGTAAGGCCCTATACTGGGCCATGTGCTCTTCTACATTTTTATTTATTACTTGAGTGAGAGAATTTAAGGGGCCATGTAGGTAGCTGATTGTTTAAATGAGAAAGAAATGAGAAAGAAGATGGTAGTTGAGCAGTGGGGTGACATGGATAGGATGAAAACGGAAGAGGTAGAAAGGTAGATCATGCATAAAGTTCTGCGTTTGGGCAAGAAAAAGGTAGGATATAGACACGGGACAGGAAGATTTGGCTTGGAAGTAATAAACATTAAAAGGCTCTAGATGTCCTTGTTGGATTACAAGTAAAGCAGGAGGCAGCAGTGTGGTGTAACTGCTAAATAAGCAAACATCATTTTTTCTCCCCAGTGGTCACCTAAATCTCAAACAATCAAAAGATATGCTCCAGTACGAGGAACATGGGTGCAGAACTCTGAAATAAGGTGAGACCCAATACAAACTCTTGCATATTTCTCACCTCCCTCTTCTCAATATATTGTCACTTGATCAAGCTTTTCTTGTTGCCTTGAGACATTTCTTCTGAGCCATGGTGGTACAGCGGTTAGAGTGCAGTACTGCACGCTACTTCAGCTGCCTGCCGGCTGCCTGCAATTTGACAGTTCAAATCTCACCAGGCTCAAGGTTGACTCAGCTTTCCATCTTTCCAGAGTGGGTAAAATGAGGACCCAGATTGTTGGGGGCAACATGCTGACTCTGTAAACCACTTAGAAAGGGCTTCTGGTTGCTTTGTTCAGGAAAGCATATGCCCAAAATACCTTTTTATGGATTTTGCATCTCTTATTTCTCTTGATCTTTCAACAGGTCAAGGTCAAGAGAACACAAAGTATGCATCCGTATTGGAAATATTTGTTATTGTACTCAAATAGACTTATATAGGTCTTGATACTACTGTTGCTCTCATTTTTCTCAAAAATGTGCACTGAAAACAACTACAAAGAGCAAAGTGAAATTTTTACCACTTCAGTGTTTTAGCCTGTGAATCACATATGCCAAATACCAGAAAAAATACATTATGCTAAGGAAACAACTAGTGTGTAGTGTTTAAAGGCACCAGGCTAATAAATCAGAAGATCATGAATTCTAGCCCTGCCTTAGGCACAAAACCAGCTGGGAAACTTTGGGCCAGTCCCTTTCTCTCAGCCTTAGGGCCAAAACACTTCTGAAAAGGAACCAAATCACTACCACCACCATCATCATTATGAGAAGCACTTTGGCATAGAGCTAAATACACTGAGTTAGAAAGAGACTGTGAACTTTAGTTCTTCCTTAGACACTCCATCCCTCAACTGTAGGAACAAGGCAAGACCAAACTATTTTCCAAAAGGCACGCACATACACACCAAAAACTCCTGTGCCCTCACAACCAAGGTTTTAATTCTCTTTCATTTTGCTTCTAATCTTGCGACACTTCTAAAAGAACAAACCATATCAGTGGAAACCTAAAAAGAAATTAAGCTGTATACTCGGGTTCTGATCACATTTGCACAGCCTCCTAAACGGTGTCATTTTTAAGTCCAGAAATGAGTTTTTCTACCAGGCAGCCTTTGTGATTTTTTCTTCCAAGCTGTCTGCCATCCTGAGCAATCCGGCAGCTGCGCTGAATCTCCTCACCAATCAGCTGGAGATGAAAACATAATATCCGCCACCAGAAAACCCTAGAATAAGCCAATTCCATTTGACCATCGTGAAGTTTTATGAAGTATAGGGCAAAGCAATACTTTTGAAACAAGTAAAAATAGAAATTCACAAACAAAAATGATGAATTACTATTTTGGGCTCTTCATAAATTGGGGTCAGAGAGGTTGATGATTGCAGAGGGAGGAGGAAGAAAATGCTAAAAGCCACTATAATCTTCAGGTTTATTGGACAGTGGATCTAACCTTCCTGTCAAAGCCAACTTGCAGCTCCAAAATGAGTCTCCAGTGGGAATCTAATAAAGTATGAAAGTCAGGGTTTTTTTTATCTTCCCCTTTAGGAAACATAATGATTTGCCATGTTGTGGGGAAAAAAATGTCCCCACTTCAAATAAGGAATCAAAAGGTTTGGACATAGATGGAAAAAGTATATTTTTCTGTGATGTACAACTACTGCGTTGATTGGGTTCCCAGCCAGAAGAATGCAAAAGGCCCCAAACTAGGCAAGGTTATGGGTTATATACAGTGGTGGGTTTCAAAAATTTTTACTACCGGTTCTGTGGGTGTGACTTGGTGGGCATGGCATAGCTTTGTGAGCGTGGCAGGGGAAGGATATTGTAAAATCTCCATTCCCTCCCCACTCCAGGGGAAGGATACTGTAAAATCTCCATTCTGTCCCTGCTCCAGGGGAAGGATACTGTAAAAGGAGCCTTGGTAGTACAGTGGTTTAATGCACCCTGTTATTAACACAGCTGCCTGCAATTTCTGCAGGTTCGAATCTTACCAGCTCAAGGTTGACTTAGCCTTCCATCCTTTCTAAGGTAGGTTAAATGAGGACCCAGTTTGTGGGGGCAATAAGATGACTTTGTATAAATATACAAAAGGATGAAGGCTATTGCTTAACGCATTGTAAGCCGCCCTGAGTCTCCGGAGAAGGGCGGCATATAAATCAAATAAAAAAAAAAATCTCCATTCCCACCCCACTCCAGGAGAAGGACACTGTAAAATCTCCATTCTGTCCCCAATCCAGGGGAAGGTTTTTTTTTTTTTTTTTTTAAATTGATTTATATGCCGCCCTTCTCTGGAGACTCAGGGCGGCTTACAGTGCGTTAAGCAATAACGCACTGCAAAATCCTCATTTCCTCCCGATCAGCTGGGACTTGGGAGGCAGAGAATAGATGGGGGAGAATAGAATAGAATAGAATTTGTACTACTGGTTCTCCGAACTACTCAAAATTTCTGCTACCGGTTCCCCAGAACTGGTCAGAACCTGCTGAAACCCACCTCTGGTTATATACCCACAGAGGAATGATACAGAAAGCTAAGATAAAGATAAATCAAACTATAACCTTTACAACAGGAATGTAACATGCGATAACACCATACGATGACCTTACAATGACTATTCCAGCATCTCTACATTCTTTTCAACTACTTTCTATCTACCCTATCCTGATGATAGATATTAACATCATGTACCATAAACAATCAATATATACTGCATGCCTATATATTCCACCCTTTACACCAAAACAAACACAAAAATCTACTTTCTATCTTTTTGCTCTCCAGCATCATCAGGCTGCCCTCTCTTGTACTTCTGTGCCTTTTTTCATGTTTATGTTATGTATCGGTCATCATGCATGATAACCCTCCACAATTCTCTTATTCTTCATATCACCTCAGTTTCTCTGTCTGCTTAATACAGAGAAGATACAATCAATCACTTTATTCACAGGATAAACCAACCCCCTTCTAATTCAATGTACAAAACCACACGTGACTCTCAGCTACAGAAAACCACCGCATGATGTTAGTGGGTTTATACTGACTGGGGTTGGGGGGGGGGGGGGACCAGTTTGGTGTAGAGTTAAGGTGCTGGCCTAGAAATCAGAAGACAGTGAATTCTAGTCTTGCCTTAGGCCGGAAAGCCAGCTGAGAGAATTTCGGCTAGTCACTCTTCTCTTAGACCAACTCACCTCATGGAGTTGTTATTGTGGGAAAAATAAGAGAAAGAGAAAGAAATATGTATAGTCACTACCTTGAGTTACTTATAAACAAAATGGGACAAAATGAATAAATGCATAGATACATAAATAAAAGGATTCGATGAAGGGAAGACAAGTTATAAAAAAAATCAGAATTTTAAAAAAGGGTGGGAAATGAAATCTCCAAAACAGGCACTAAGAAAATTAAACTAGTATTCCATATTGTGTTATTTAGCCATGTGTTTTGCTGATTGGATTAGGTCAACCTTCTCAAAAGTAAACCTCCTCAAATGTATTGGTCTGGCCGTTAACCACTATGGTGGTCCAAGATCTTGAGAGCAACAAAATTGGAAAGAGCTAGAACACTTATTTTCTTCAGACGCTATTTTTCTTTTGTTGCTTGGCTACAGAAAAATCATTATGGAAACCTTGAGGGCTCATGGAGTTCAACCCCCCCCAAAAAGGTATCATGTGCTGTTGGAAATTAAGCATTTTTAATTTAGTATACATTCCATATTTGACAAATGGGGCAGAGGACAAGTGATTGTACAAGCCTCTTGTTATGGAACATGACACCTAATTTAAATTCTCCCTGCTTTTTTCTTCTTGCTAGATTTGATATCCATCGTTCGTTGTGTGACCTTCTATGTGGGGTTTTTTTTTTTTTTTTTTGTAATGCCATCATCTGGGCACAATTTCCAAATCTCATTAGGAATGCAATTATTTTCATATACACTTTTCAAGTTCATACTTCCTCCCTCCCAGACATTCTGATTATCTACCTAGAGCTTTTGAATATTATTTCTGTCACTGCTAGAGTGAGTCTTGTTGATAAAACAATGTAAGAGAGAAATTCTGAAGATCAAATTGAGCAGCAAAGTTTTTGCAACTAAATTTAACAGGCTTCATTGGCAATATTTGAAATGTAAACTAGCTCCAAACAAGTCCTTTAGATCTTCTCAATTTGATGCATTTACCTCTTGAGATTCCCAAAGTTCTCTCAGCTTCAGACCTGGCTTTCCACAGAGTGTAAATATATGGGGAAATTTGAGAATACTTTGGAATGGGTATTTTGTGTGCAATTTGTGGGTCAAGTGGTTACATGTGGTTTCTTCAGGCAGAATTATAAAGGAAAGCTTGCAGGAGGAACACTATCCAATGACCATACAAAGGAATGCAATTAAAATGATTTTGAACCAAATTAGGCTTTCTGAGTTTCTATTCAATCATGTCATGGACCTGATCAAAGCCCCTTTGGGCATCCCAATGACCTGCTGCTGGTTTGTTTTTTTTTTTTGCTTTAATTTATATGCCGCCCTTCTCCGGAGACTCAGGGCGGCTTACAATGCATTAAGCAATAGCCTTCATACTTTTGTATATTTATACAAAGTCAGCTTATTGCCCCCACAATCTGGGTCCTCATTTCACCTACCTTTGAAAGGATGGAAGGCTGAGTCAACCTTGAGCCTGGTGAGATTTGAACTTGCAGTAATTGCAAGCAGCAGTTGTTAATAACAGTGCTTTAGTCCACTGTACTACAGGCTCTGTTTTATTTATTTATTTATTTATTATGTTTATATACCGCCCTTCTCCCGAAGGACTCAGGGCGGTGAACAGCCAAGATCAAATAAATAACATATAAAAATTAAAAACAATTTAAAACCAGATTAAATACTTTGGCTCATAATTGAAAACATCCCATTAAAATCCAATTTAAAATTTAAAACTGTTAAAATTAGGCTAGCCCGGCTTGCTGGAATAACAAATTCTTCAGGGCATGGCGGAAGGTGCGCAAGTCCAGGTTCCTCCGTACCTTTGGGGGCAGCTCGTTCCAGAGGGCAGGAGCCCCCACTGAGAAGGCTCTCCCCCAGGGGGTCGCCAGTCGACATTGTCTGACCGACGGCACCCCAAGGAGCCCCGCCCTGTGGGAGCGTACTGGCCGGTGGGAGGCTGTTGGTAGCAGAAGGCGGTCCCGTAAATACCCAGGTTTTAATCCTAATCCACAAAGATGAACTAGGACTTCTCATCCAAGAACAACAGAATAACAGAGTAGGAAGGGACCTTGGAGGTCTTCTGAACTGACGAAGCTTCTTGGATGGGAAGCGAAATGTTTTCAAGGGGGGAAAAAAAACAAGGAAGCCCAGATGCTTTTTGAAAGAACAAATGGGATGAACTTGGATATTAACTTCAAGCCTACCTCCAAATAAATCCAATGACGAGCCAGAAAGGTCACCACCGAAAGATAAATTCTTTTCAGCAATCTAAGGAGGGATTTCCAGCTATGGATCCATTAGGCCATCTGCCTTACTACATGGATCATTACTCTGATGTGACTTCAGAAAGTAAGTGGGGAAACGCTGGTTTCCATCTTCAAAGTGATTCTCACCCCCTCCCCACCGCCCCCCAACACTTTTATATCCAGCAACGGACTTTGGTATATATAAGTCTATGAGGCAATCTGCTTGGTAAGAACGTTCGTAGGATGTTAACAGAATTTTTTTTTTTAATGTGCCCTTATGTTGGTTTTAGCATGTTGTGCAGAGTCAAAATGATCTCCTCTAAGTGGTTCGTTCTGAATGAATATTTTAAGCCTAGCAGGAGACAATTAGGCCACGCAACGAAATATGTACAACTGGAACTGATGGGTAATAGAGTTGGCATCAAAATACAAGAATGCCTGTTCTCATTTGAGTCCTCTTCCAAGTGTAAAATCCTAACTATTTAGCATTTGAATATGGAAAATTACAATTAATCTGCATGGAATTTGTGTATGCCAATGAGAATTTTGTATGCAATTATGTGTTTTGATTTAACTTGGAAAGAAATCCCAGAGGGCAGTTTATCCCAGACACCAGCCAGCTATATAACCACTGAGTTACTTTTCAGGGCTGGTTCAAGCTGATCTCTAGCATCATAGTTTACCAATCAGCAAAGGAAATATATGAACAGATTGTTGAATAATAGTTTTTCAACCCAGCTTGCAATATGGGAATAAACATTCCTCTCTCGGTTTCAGCTCAAGCTCTCAATTGCAGGGACAGTTGAATAAATCTGGATAGCACTACTCAGAATTCCAAATGAATTAGATGGCAGGGCTGCTCTAAAGTGGAATTCCTTTAACTCACAGTTAACTCGAGCGTGCAATTTGTGGGTCAAGTATTGCTCTTATGCAAAGGACTGTCATGCTGAACATGGGGCAAAATGGTCTAATTTGTTCAGAATTGTTCCAAAAGGCAGGAGAGGAAACCATGGATGTAAATGGCAAGAAAGTAGATTTCAGTTGGAGATCAATCTTCCTAACAGAGCTGTTCAACAATAAAACAGATTGTGTTTAGGAAGTGGTAGACTCTCTTTTGCCACACAGGCTGGAAAGAGAGGCTGAATGGCCATCTGTCAGGAATGCTATACTGAATATTCCTGCACTGGGCGAGTCTTGGACCAAATGATATATGAACTTTTACTTTTATGACATGAAACCTTAAATATCTGTCATCTTCCCCTCCTCTCTCCTGTCACTCAAAGATTACATTCGTAATTCATCCACTTCTTTTTTCAAATAGATATAGCTTATCATTTGTCCGAATATGGAACTGTGGTTAGTTTAAACTATGGTTATTTCAAACATTTTAGTTTCAGAGCCTCATTTTCTTTTTTCTTTGGAAAAACAAAACAAAACTGTGGTTAGATGATGGAAGCAGCTTATTTTGATGACTTCTGTGCACCAAATATAAACTGGAATAAGTAAAGGAAAAAGTCCCACAGACAAATAAAGGCAATGGAGGATCTTTCTGGGTGAGACTAGGAACGGTATAATTTGACACATTTCAAAACCAATTATCTAAGCGGAAAGAAAGTCAAAAATTCTCAGAACAAAAGCTAACTAAACTTAAATCAACTTTTGTTGTTGTCTTTGATTTAATATCCAGCCAGTGGTAAGAGTTCTGGAGAACCTTCCTCATTCTTTTCTGATGTTGTTTGATCTCAATAAGTGCGCGCACACACGTCAATCTATATCATTTATATTCCCCATTTCTTTATAGGCAACCTGAAGAAAGCTAATAAATCTTTCCAAACGCAAGTCTTTTAGATAAAATACCAGTACAATCAACGGAATATCTTTATGAAGTTTAAAAAGAAAGTGCAGCAACTTCACTGGGATCAAAAACAGGTCTTGAAAAAAGTCAAGGCCTCTTGCATTTTCCATTTGATTCTTCCAAGACTACAGATCCAATTCCATGGAAGAAGGCCACATCTTATCTAAGGGCATGGCAGTGGAAATCCTCTCCACATAAAATGCACTCATGCAATGGCCCTCTGCATCTTGCCAACCATTTCCCTGTCAGGCATTATGCCTCTACCCAGATGTTTATCGCATTTGGACCGACTGTTGAAAGAAATGTCACAATTCAGAATTTAAGGAAAGTTCATCCAAATTCTGAAACTAACAAGACATACATAAGAATGAACTTTGGTAGCCATGCAAACGTTCTTCTGTATGCCAAAAAATAAGAGATGCTGTTACCATAATTGTATTGCATTGTTTGCTTCCCCAAAGGAATGAAATTCCATACAAACCTGGGCTTTTAAACTGATCCGGGCTGGGAAGGTGGTGGAGGGGGGAGTTACTCGCTGAAGCAGGGTGCTCGCTACGAAGCATCTGAGCCACCCGAGGCCCCATGGAATCATAGTCCGCATACGATAATGGAGCCCGTTGGTCACCGGGCGGAGAATAGAAACCATAATCGGGGATCCCTGGAGATACAGTGACTCTATCATTGCAGATACTAGATTGGTGCTAATTTTCAATATTAAAATGTACTTTTTTTTTACAGTTATAGTCATTGAAACACAAAGCAAATATTACAAAGTAGAGTTTTGAAAACAAAATGATTCATACATGCCCCCAATATCCTTTCTGTTTTACTCAACTTTGTTGGTACAAAAACAAGACTGGATATAAAACAAGGAAACTCACCACCTCATTTACTAGAAGCCTTTTTCCAGAGCAGGAAAGACTTCAATGCATGAGAATGAAATATTGGCCCTACTGATTAAAATAATAATACATTGCAGTGAAGAACTGAAGGAAAAAGCTAATTAGAGCTAATTTTCAAAGCCTGTGAAAATTTCCTTATCCCTTGCCTACAGAAAATCTCCATCTCCCATTTATTGAGATATATAGATTTACATGAATTATGCACATTTAGACATCCATAATATCCATACCAAAAGTCAATGTGTGAGCACAAACTTTCTTAATCACAAATAGTAAATACGTCTTTCCCCTGATTTATCTTACCTCAATTGTCCTGAAGTTCTGGATTCTCCAAGACATCCTCTTTTAATACTATATCATTTAGGCACGGCAGTTAAGTGTACTATACTATCTCACAAGCCACAAGAAGTGAAGTTCTCCTTCTCAAGTCATACTTAGAACAGTAATAACTATTGCTTTTATAAGACTTGTCAGTTTAAGGTGAGCCCCACAATCAATTGATTTGAGTCAGAGAAAAAAGAGAAAGACAAATTCTCTGAAACTGCACATCATCTCAAGATTGAGAACTTCTGAGAAAATAAATACATCAAGAACAAAAATTATAGATGAAGCTCAGCTCCTCTTGTATCTTAGCAAAAGGGAGAAAATGCAGTCTGGCCCAAAATGATAAATACTACAATTCAGTCAGATTTCGGATATTTAATTTAACTTAAACTCAAAATGGTGCATCTTAAGATGGAAGCACCTTAATTTTTGAAGAGCAGTTCTCAAATAGGTTTGTGAAACGTATTTGTGCATAGATTTTAATGAAACAGGCTACCTGTTTGTCCCTTGTGTTTAAGCAAATTTGTGATGCACAAGAATAGCAGATTCCCTAACACTTGGATGGAAAATGTACACACCACTATTGCTCTTGTAATCAGCAAAGGGTTCTTTAGCAGCTGAAGAGCTTCCCGTTAATATCTCTATGTAACCGCTGGGTAAGGACATCTGTTGGTTGAAGGTCAAGTATTGCCAATATTATTCAAAGTGTTGGCCATCATTTATAAAGCCCTTCACGACATAGGGCCAAGTTATCTATCTGAAGGACTAGCTCCTATAGTTTTAAGAGCCAACAAAATGGGTAAGTTCTGGGTCCCCTTGATTGAACAGTTTCATCTTTGGGGACAGAGGAAATGTGCCTTCTCCATTGTGGTGCCAGGTGTAGAGACTAAGGAAGATGTCCTTGATGGACATCATTTTTAAGTCCAGAAAATGTTAGGAAGCTGCTTGGACAGGGCTTCTCTTATTCCCTGAAGGAGGAGGAGGAGAAGGCTCAGTATAATCAGACTTGCAATATTCTGTTATATTATATGCTAATCTCATTATATGTTGTTTTAGCCTTCCTGTGGAATTGATTTCATTGTCCGGTCAAGGCTGACATATGTCTTCTGGAATAATGTCCCCTTGACAGCTTTCTGGGAGGCATTAAAAGTCCTGACCTTGAGGTAGGGTCAGTGGTAGGTTTCAATTTTTTTTACTACCGGTTCTGTGGGTGTGACTTGGTGGGTGTGGCATGGCTTGGTGGGCGTGGCAGGGGAAGGATACTGTAAAATCTCCATTCCCTCCCCAATCCAGGGGAAGGATACTGCAAAATCCCCATTTCCTCCCAATCAGCTGGGAGGCAGAGAATAGATGAGGACAGGTCCAGTCAGAGGTGGTATTTACCAGTTTTCCAAACTACTCAACATTTCCACTACCGGTTCTCCAGAACTGGTCAGAACCTGCTGAAACCCACCTCTGGTTAGGGTGGACGGAGCCCCTCATTAGATAGGTTTGTCAAATGCCATATAAGTTCTGATGTAGTTTGTGTTGTTTTTATTTAGTTAGCAGTCCAGTCATGTGATAGTTGAAGTAAAAAAATAATAATCAAATGACAATCCAGGAAAGATCGGCATAGGGAAAAATACATAACAGATTTTGTGTGTGTGTGTGTGTGTGTACAATTTGACTATGCTTTCACTTTTGGAATAGTACTTTCTTTCTGCTTTCATTTAACTGTGCTACTGAAACATTTCTCTTTTTCGGAATTCACGGTGTACTGTATTCAAAGAACGTATTGGCTTTATAATTTGTAAACGGTCTCATAAGTAGTTATTTAAATCTCAAACACACGTACAAATAATTCCCATCTCCCATAAGTACATTTGAGGCAGAATTAACTAGTATAGAATTTATTTCCATGCCAGCTTTTATATCAAGTAGTACCTTTTGGTCCTGCCTTATGTTCCTGAAAGAATTGACAGATTGGATTTCAAATATTTCTCTTTTCAATTACATTAGCTGTTGGGACCTCAAAACTGCCTGTAGGTTGCTTTTTTAAGATCATGCAGCCACATGGGATATGTCTGCTCAGATGGATGAAAATAATTGTCTCAACTGGGGAAACTGTTTACATCTATAGCCTACTTCTAGGGACCTCCAGGGGACACTTAAAAAGTGGGTATTCCGATCTTAGCTCAGCCCAAGCCTAGCAAACATCTTACAGAGGTTGCATGGACACAACCTGAAATCTTGCCCTATGTCTGCCCAACAAGTTAACTATTTTGTTAGTAGTCATTATCTATATGTAATTTTCATTGTCTGCATTCCAGTTTCCTCTGGAGTCTCTTTTTAGCACTTGAGGGGCTGTCACAGAGCGGAAGGGGGGTCAACCTATTCTCCAAAGCACCTGAGGGCAGAATGAGAAGTAGTAGGTGGAAGATCATTAAAAAGAGATCCAATCTAGAATTAAGGAGAAAATTCTTGGCAGGGAGAATAATCAGTGGAACGATTTGCCTTCAGAAGTTGTGGGTGCTCCATCACTGGATGTTTTCAAGAAGAGACTGGACAACCATTTGTTCAGAATAGTATAGGGACTCCTGCTTGAGCAAAGGGTTGGACTATAAGGCCTTTAAAGTCCCTTCTGTTATTGTATAATCTACTAGTTTCCCTTTCCCTATAACCAATGGAAACTTGCACACACACACACATACGATTGGGCAAGTGATTTGCTCAAAAGAGGGATGTGAAGCCCATGGGCCATGCTGGAGGACAAAGCAAGATAGAGGAAGACCCCATATTGTCGTAATGCCTTTTGGAAAGGAAGATCACACTGACAACAACCTGCTGACATCGCTCTCAGTCTGTCTCTGATTCTCCCCTCACACTTGCCATAAGCAACCGCATGCAATTTGGCAGCCTTTGCACCATCAGTGTTTATGATAATAGCCATGTGTGCTTGAAAGCAGCAGGAAATTTTCAATATAACTATCATTAAGACAAAACGCTTTAAATCAAAACCATTACTGGTACTGAGAGTTAAAGCTCACAAGATTAGGCTGCTTTTTATCTTTATGAAAAATTCATAGAACAAGCTGCCAAACAACATCTTCTTGCTCGAGAGAGTAAATGATATAATAATATTTAATGCTGCCGATACAGATGAAAGTGGAGGCATAAGTTGCATGCTGTAATGTGTACATCAGGGAGACTATGTTGAACAAGGAGCTCTGACACTTAGCACATGTAATGCTGGGTAGACAAGCAAATGGGAAGCCTGCTGTTGCCTTCCCCAACTTTTAGACTTCAAAGATCAGCGGCTGCTCTTCACTTTCCTTGCAATTTGGTTGCAAATGTACAGCTTCCGTGCAAAGGTGGAACTAAATTCTCCAGGGCTGATTCAGCCAACAGAATGCAAGAAACACTGAAGCCCTTGAACGAAAACCACCCAAAACTCATGTGGCTTTTGTTGGTCAAGAACCAGGGGTTTTCAAGAACCCTGTAGGCCAGGCACCCAAGCCCCTCAACTGTTTGGAGCGGGAAATAAATATCGGTTTAAACCATGCTACCAAAATACAGGTAGTTCTCATTTAGTGACTGAAAATGGTTCCAACAACCATTTTGGTTGTTAAACAAAGGGGTCACTAAACGAACACATAACAGAGAGAAGGGGGGAAAGAGAAAAAAAATTCCTGCAAAGATCATGGCTGCTGCTTTCTCATTCAGATAAATCTCTGTAGTACAGTGTTCTATTTGTACTGATTGCTTATTTGTACCCTATGACTATCATTAAGTGTTGTACCTTATGATTCTTGATGAACGTATCTTTTCTTTTATGTACACTGAGAGCATATGCACCAAGACACATTCCTTGCGTGTCCAATCACACTTGGCCAATAAAAAATTCTATTCTATGCCTCACAGGCTGGAGAGATAAAGCTATCTCTTCTCAAGCTGCTTTTCTTTTAGTATATGCTTCCCTGAAAAGTGCTAACCACAAGTTAACAAGCTCAGCTTTGTAATCTTAGTTAGCTGGTTAGAACCTTCCCTTGGACGTGCAGCTGCTGCCTGTTAACTGACCAGGCCTTAATCAGTTTCACATTGAAGGCTTTTATTGTGCATTTGTTGGAACATGAATTATGGTTGCTTATTACCATATTTGCAAATTGTCGCTTTTTGAAGCAGCTGCTAAACAAAGACTGCAAGTGGTTGACCTTTGAAATCATGTGAT